CTCTTCACTGGTTGTCTGTCTGTCTCTGAGCCACTAGCACACTTAGAGGAAGTTACTGCACACCTTCCCGGAACAGCTCCCCCACAGCTGCAGTATTCAATCTTGTTTTGTTTACTCTGCAGGGATCCTCTTCACACCCCAGAGTGTCATGCTTATTACAAGTTTGAATGAGGAAGAAATGATTTAAAGCATTGGGCCTGTCAGTTGCCACCCGTGTGTCTATTCATTATTTATTTATTTATTTGTTATTTATTTGCATAATATAAGCTCCGTGTGTCTACTCATTATATTTATTTATTTATTTATTTGCATACTATAAGCTCCATGAGGATGGTGATCTTGTCTGACTTGTTTATTTTTATTTATGTGTTCACAAAGGTATGTGTGAAGGCCAGAGGTCAGTGTTGGATACCTTCCTTGATCACACTTCTCCTTGTTTTTTTTTTTTTGTTTTTTTTTTTTTGAGTCAGGGTCTCTCACCGTGTCTGGAACTCACGGATTTGGTTCTGGATCCTCTTGTCTTTGCCTCCTCAGTGCTGGAATTTACAGCTGTGCCAGTGTCTTTTAGTGACATGGATTCTGGGAGGTCAAACTCAGGTCCTCATGCTCCTGCAGAGTACATTATTGTCCAAGCTATCTCCCCAGCCCTTCTCTGACATTTAAGATGTATGTATCCCATGTGAGAGGACATTTACAAAATAATTGATGAATAAATGAGCGAAAGGCAATACTCTGACCAGGGGCATTTGCATTTTATTTTTTCAGACCTGAATAAATTGTTGAAGAGGTTTATGTTGTTAGTCACAAAAACTCAGAGAGAATTTTCCCAACTGCTAGCATCTCCACATGTGCTTTGAGCTCCATGCATATGCCACATGACTAAATACTGAATCCTTGAAATCCTTGACACAATTCATCCAGAGGGGTTTGTCTGCTTATAGGAATCCTTGAAGAAAGTTCCTTTTAGGGCAAAAAATTTCAGATTAGCCAGATATAATCATTGAGCATTTGGGTCAACAATGGTATTTATCAGGCCTCTCTGTTGAGTGTTTTAAACACAATAACATTGAACTTACAGAAAGGACACTAAATAGTCACAGTAACCATACATAGTTGACACCACAGTCATTACTGTATAGAAATACTATGTTTTCAGTGCATTAGCAATCAAGCCAGAACACTTTGATGCAGAAGTGACCATTGAATAGAGACTCAGCAAACGAAGAGGAAAATAGAACTATGTGACTCACTACATCACATTACAGCTTCCATGACGAGATGCCCCCCCCCCCCGCCATTTCTTTTCTTTTCTTTTTTTCTCTTAAATTTTATTGTGTGTAGGGGGGTGCTGCAAGGGCAGAGGGCAGATACACAGGGATGGGAAATGAATGGGATCAAGATGCATGATGTGAAAGACACAAAGAATAAATAAAAAGAAAGTTAGAAAATAATAAAAGTATAAAACTGAAAAAAAAAATAGAAGAAATAAATGAGAAGCCTCATTGTGACTGAGCTGGAAAGGGAGGCAGAGGCTTGAGAAAAGGATAGAATAGAATGAGAGACAAAGGGAAGGATGGCAGTGGCAGTGACGCCAGGTGGACTCTGGAGTCACAGAACCCTAGGCCCACATGCTGGTTTTGCTTATCTGTGCTGTAACCTGGAGTTTATCCACTTTCTCCTCAGCTACATTATCAGTAAAAGCACATTCCATTGAGTGAATATCAGCGCAACGTTCCCTGGGACATTAGATGTATTTGCTACAAGGACAGGCTGTTTAGATCTGTTATGATCCTTCTGGGTTGGTTAGTTAGCTACTGTTCACCTTGATTTTTAAGAAAAGGGGAAAAAAATCGTCGCGGGTTTTGGAGATTCACAACCTGAAATCAAGCAATAATACCAAAAGGGAAGTTAGTGGATATAGTGGATATATATATATATATATATCCTAGTAAGTCTGGTTTAGTTCACATTAAAAACTACATCTGGCTGGTGGAGGGTGGGGAGGTGTGCGGAGGCAGGCGTATCTCCAAGTTTGAGGCCAACCTGGTCTACAGAGTGAGTTCAAGGACAGCCAGGACTACTCAGAAAAACCCTGTCTCAAAAACAAACAAACAAACAAACAAACAAATAAATAAATAAATAAATAAATAAATAAAAGAAAAAGAAAGTAAAACAAGGCCTCTCTGAATACATAGTTTGTGGAAGAAGCTAATGGTTAACAGATAACTTTATAATAACATAGAGGTAAATTTGGCGTGTGGATTGGTAAAGAGAAGGAGACGTGAGATGTAGGAGACATTCTCTGTAGGACTGGGAAGGGTTTTGGAGTGTAGAAATGTATGGCCAGAAACCCTTAATAAGAGGTTCCTAGATGGCTGTACATAGGAACACAGATCTCTATGGAAGGACATCCTTAGATCATGGTCATGAGCAACACTTATATGTTTTTCCTTTTGGGAGTGTTTTCTGGGAGACTCTATGGAAGCCTATTTTCCAGCTTCTGGAGTTACTGAAAGCCCACTGAGACAGGTGTTTATTACACCCAAGTCTGTGAAATGAAAACATGCCCACCATCTTTGTGATCTTTCAGGCCCTACCACAGAGTTACATTTATCTCTTCCATTCGACTTTCTTTGACTCCATTTTCTTTAAAGAAAACCATCTGAATATCTGACTTTTTTTTTTAGGACTGTTGAGATGGATCAGTGGGTATAGGTGATTGCCACCAAACCCGATGGTCTGAGTTTAAGCCTTGGAACCCATATGGAATGGACTCCCACAAGTAGTCCTCATACTGCCACATGCACTCATGTGAACATGCACACATAATTAATTAATTAATAAGTTAATGTAGACATTTTTAAAAAGATGTTTTTAAGGGATTGATGAGATGGCTCATGGGGTGAAGGCCCTTGCTGCCAAGTCTGATGACTTGAGTTCAAATCCTAGAACACGTGTGATAGAAGGAGGGAACTGACTTCTATAGGTGGTCCTCTCATGATGCATGCACATGTGCACACACACACACACACACACACACACACACACACACACAAACTAAACAAACAAAAGTAAATGAAAAGTTTTTCAAGTGTATCAACATACTACCATTTAGAAATCATCACAGAAAGTTTCTTTTACTTAAAAAGTGCCCCCTGCTCATCTGCGTCAGCCCCCTTCTTACTCCCTCTCTCTTACTGCCCATTCAAACCTTGCCTGTCTTTCAGGAACCTACTGATGTCTTCTGGAGGTCTTCCCTACTTGTGATTTCTCTCCTTGCCATTTATCAGTGTTATCTGGAGGATAGAACAGTTTTATATTTATGGAATCTTTGTGAAGACAGTACGTCGCATCCCTGTGTACCTGACATGAGTTAATATCTTACATCACTACTGTCTGTCTGTCAAATGAGAACTTACTCTGACTTCCTCCATTTCCCCTGGTATCCTTTTTCAAGTCCAGGATCCATACAGTGTGCCACTCATTACATCTTCTTTAGTGTTCGTATTGCCTTCTCTCCCGTTAGTGGGGACAGTTTCTTGGGTTCTCTTGTTTTGGTTGACTAACAGCACTGAGCATCAGTTGGGAATCTTGTAGAAAGTCCCTCACTTAGAATTTGCTGTTGTTTTCCTCATGAATAGACAAAGGCCATGGTTTGTGGGTCAGGACCATGGACCTCAAGTGCCTTCCCATCACGTCCTATCAAGGACAGGCACGGTCACAATGACATTTCAGTGCTGATGTTATGTAACCACAGTACCTGACACTAAGTAGTTTGGAAGATTTCCCCACTGAAAAGATGCTCTCCTTCCCTTCTCCAGGCTCATGCTGAATCCTTTGGAAGCAAGTTACTGTGTGCAACTTATGTGTAAGGAGTTGAAAGTGGGAAGGGGTGAGACTCAACTTCCTTAAAAGTAGATTAGCTACATAAATTATTTAGAATCCCTTTTCATGGGAAATGGGCTGTTCTCTCTCATTTGTTTATTCAGTCATTTATTTACATCAGCACGGACTTGTGGATATTTATTTTATACACTGAGTTATAATCTAATACTCCTTTATTTATTTTGCTGATCAAATTGTTTCAGCTTTAATTACTGGGAGATATTTCAGCTGACTCCTATGTTCTTTTGACGTACTTCATTTTGTGTGTGTGTGTGTGTGTGTGTGTGTGTGTGTGTGTGTGTGCATTCAATGTATATTCCAGGCTTATCTTATGGATTTCCTGACCCAGTCTTAGAATTAATCATTTTTTTCCTAAGGAACTCTGATTCCTTTTATTGGAAGATGGGATTAGAAACCAAGATCTTGTCACTTGGTTTGCATGGCCAATGGATGGGCACTGCCAGAATGCTTTGCCCTTGGGCCCTTTTAGCTGATGGAGTGAGGGGTCAATGGATATGTATTATATTCACTCGTTTACATATAAATGTCTATAAAAATTTCCACATGTAACTACCCATGCCTCTACTGAATTAAATCTGGATACATACTGATATGTCCATGTCTAATTCATTGTCACATGATTATTTGGAGCAAACTTAAAAAAAAGTAAGCTACAAAGTTCTGCATGTCACTTCAAAGCTAATGGATCAAGACAAATGTTTAACTTATGGAGCTTTAAAAACAGGTTAAAGTTACTGAATTTCTTTTTGATTTAATGTTGGAACTAATGTTGATAATATGAAAACATTAGATGACATCATAAATACAAATTTTATTTTGTTGTTACCATTTGGTATTTGCCTCAGTTATATGTTACTACCTGTCTATAGTTTTGCTGATTTTAATTACAGGAGTGAAGTTATAATCTAATAGAATCTAATAGAAACTCTTGCATTAGGTAATCCCTGGGTATACTGAAGTTTTAAATATGGAAATAAACATGGCAAGAATCCAAAATCATCTATGAAGATCGTGTTCACGTGTGTTGGTGAAATCTACATTACTCATTTCTTTTCCCTCTCTTTCTGTTTCCTTGCATTATTGGTGGGCTGCAGACTCCAGATCCAACTCCATCTTCTGAAATGATCCCGACTCCCAGAATGCCCCTGGTGCTGCTCCTGCTCTTGCCCATCCTGGGTTCCGCAAAAGCTCAGGTTAATCCAGGTAACACAGCCACTACTCAGTTGGACGCTGAAGACCAGGTTCCTGCCCATGCCTGTCAGTGCTTATCTTAGAAAGAATTTTGCCAAGGGAACCCACTGTATCAGTTGTTTTCACTAGCGTGGTGAAATGTGGCCAAGTTAGAAACAAAGTTGTATCTGTTCCCTATCCATATAGAATGTGTTGGCTATTGTACAAGAGGTTTTTTGTTGAGCAGAGCAATTTAAATGCCACTTTTTAATGGGAGAAGGAATGGCTATTTGCTGCTCTGCCTTTTGGGGAAAATGGGAGAGAAATTTTAGATGCAACAGGGAGCTTCTTTCGATTGGATTATCCACTGGATGCTAGGCCTGGGTTTTACTTGACTGTCCTGCTATACTTTTGGAACACTGACTCTGTACGATGCCAGGTTCCCAGGATCCCAGGTAGTGTCTCTTTCTCACAGGATGTGACTATGTTCAAAACAGAGATTTGAGATGAATCTTTTGAGCCAATTTTTTTGTGTATGTTGTTCTAATTCATATATATTTTAGCTTTAACCTAAAGCATATGATTATGTCATTTGTCTGTTACACAATAATGTTACTTAACAATCTTCAATAGCTCAGTGACTTAAAATGAGTGTCTATTTTGCTTACAAGCTTATAGTTTGATGGTTTCCGCTGTGCTTGGCTGGACTGTACTTTGATCTGTCTTAGTGCATTTACCTATCTGGGAGTCAGCTGGCTATTGCCTCACGTAGGATTACCTTGGCCCGATGAAGGGCAGTTTGGTTGTGGCTCTGTGGATTCCTCTAGCAGACTAGCCTGGTTATGTTTTCATGGAAATTGCACAAGAGCATGAGTGGTAGCTGGAATCTGCAAACAATCTTTCAATCCACTGCTCAAATTATGTTTGTTAAGACCGTACTGGCAGGGATGAGGGCTGTAGCTTGGGTGGTTGCTTGTTCACTAAGACGCTGTTTCAACTCCCAGCACTGAGGTGGGGAACCTCAGTGGTCAAAGCAAGTCATATAGCTATGCCCAGAGTCCATAGGAACAAAAAATGTACATGGTAAAAAGAAATGTAAAGATTTTAAGTCATATTTTTATTCTTTGACAAATATAGACGTATAAAAGTACACATACCTTACAATTGGATAGGTGTTCACAAATCCATTCAGACATGTCTAACCTGAAGCAGAGGGTAGCTATGAATGTGGGCTAATACAAAAGTGTACACTTATATAAAATATGACATTTTCCCCCATGTGATCTTTTTGATTGTGCTGCTTTTGAATGTGAACTTTGTAGATGATGACATTGTGTGGCAATGCCAAAGGCTGGACGGCCCTGGCAGTGAGCAACACTTTCACATTTAAGAAACAGAGGCATCATGGAGTTCTTCCTCCTGCCCCACCCTCGTGACATCCATTATGTTGCTTTCTAACAAGAAAGACTCATTTTGCCTGTTTGTACTTTATATAAATGGAGGCATATGATACAGGGATACTGTGCCTAGCTTCTTAAACTGAACTTTTTCTGTATGACATTTATTCCATGGCTACATGCAGTGGGTGATGGCCCTTTCTTGTTGTTGTATAATATTACTTTCCTTGAACACTTCATTTACATAGTTTACTATGGATGGGAACTTAGATAGTTTATAAAGTTTGGGCCTGTTTGTGAAAAAATCTTCCATATTCTTACACAGAGTTTGTGGTAAGGATATATACTCAATTTTCTTGAGTTTATATCCAGAAGTGGAATTCCTGGGTCACTCGTAACATGTTATTTAATGTTCTTCATAATGCCATAGAGTTTTCCAAAGTGATTTTTACCCACTTAGCCTCCCACAATAGTATGTAGAGTTCAATTTTTGAGCTAGCTATAATTACGTTCTCAAGGGTACATTCATTTTGTCTTTATACTAGCATAATGGTACATTTGTGAGAGTGCCTCCCCTGACCAAGTCCATGGTCATGCATTATTCTTTATACCCTTAATAGGAAACACGGTCAAAACTCCTTTTAAAAAGTTAAAGAATTGTTGGCTGAGTGAATTCAATGCTTTTTTCCATTATTATATCTGAAGTGCTTAGTGGGGGCACCTCATATCTTAACTTGGACACCTTTTTATTTTTATGCTTTGTATCCCTCTTACCCTACAAAGTTTGGTTGCCTCCTATGGTGGACTTTCTCTTCTGGGCTCCAAAGAAGAGGGAAAAGAGTGCACACAATGTCTAGGCGCTGGGTGTCATTCATCATGGAGGCTGGCATGCTTGGGGGCATTTAAGCAATTCAACCAGGGAGACCAGCTTCCTGTGTTAGAATACAAGTTGTAGTCCTTGAGTAGGAAACAGGCTGCCTGAAGGCGATTTTACATCCTGTTCTGTTGTTAGGTATTTCTGTTGGCTCTTTCCACCAGCACAAAGAAGTAGATGTCCTCATTTTAAAAGGTTTTCCTGGAAACATGGTACTTATTGAAGGACTAACCCTTTCCTCTGCGATCCCCTTCCATTTTACCAGGTGAAACTGGAGATGAGGGTGTAAAAAGCAGACAAGAAGTTTTTATTTCTCCTCAGTGTTAAATGGTTGTTGTGGAACTTGGTGCTTACGGAGTTGCATGGTTTAGCCACTGCTTGATGCAGAGTAGATACAGAATAAATACTCACTGATTTAGAGGAAACTTTTAGGGGTCTCGACTGGTACTTCCCAAAAGACTAAAGCTACTGAAAGTACTGATTGTAGATGAAGGTACTCAGTGACAATAAGTTCTGGGCCTTAGATTTTCCTCACAGGTTAGCCACATCGGATAGCAGAGAGACTTGGGCTATAAGCAAATATTTATTATATGGCCAACTCTTAACAGAAATAGGTTTAAAGCCATGTCAGACGATATCAGAAATCCTATCCTAATCAGTCACAAGCCAAAATTCGTTTAATGACTGTTAAAAAACTGAAACTGAAGTCAGCAACTCAAATAGCAATTTAAAAAGTCAGACATTCTAACATAATACTAGCTCAAGATGTACTAATTTGATCCTTACACACTGAGGAGTGATGGGGAAAATGGTGAGGCTCCTCCCATAATTAAATCATTATGTTTCTATAAGAGCAGACAACTTCGGAATAGAGTAAAAACACTGCAGTTCATAAGGTACGATCGTCTGGAATCTGAGCCCTGTGGCTTTAGGCAGAGTTCACTGGTACTGACAGCATGCTCAGTGCTAGGTGCACAGGTTGTGTTGCTAAGGCACAAGGTTCCAGTGATAACGCACGGTGCCACATGGGTGAGCACTTCCAGAAGCAAACAGCTGTTATGCATTTGATTTTGAATTGATCTTCATCAGTACACTTTCAAAAACCTTTTACTGTTGCCAATACTTTTACAATTCCTACATGCAGTTACACCATTCCCCAACCCCAACCCAATGTGAGATTGTGACCCACAGTTTAAGGCACTGGGCTCTCAAGTAGCTGAGCTTTGGCAAACGAGTTGGTAAATTGGGTGATGTCACTGACATTTCCAGAGATGGCAGTGTTCAAAGTGGCCAGAGGGGCTGCAGGGTAGGGCTCTAGAAGCCCCCATGAGAAATACTGAGATGTAGTATGTTCCAGTCCTCCAGTATGGGCAGTGTGCTAACAATCTTTCAGTTCCGGAGGTGCACTAGGAACCCAACCCTAACAATTGCCAATCTGATGGAGGAAGTACTGGAAGGCCCGAGGGCAGCAGAATCATAATTCAGAAGTTGGCTAAACCACTATACTAATAATTTCATAAAAAATCATTTTCATAAGTCAGCAAGTCAATTTGGGTGGGATTAGAAAATTCTGTTGAATGATTCAAAGTTCATTTATAAAAAATACTTAGCTTTATTATTTATTCATTAATTCATTATTTATTTATTTAATTTGCTTATAATAAGTTAATTAAATTTGAGGCTCAACTTGAAGCCGAAGAATAGCATAAGGCTAAAAAGAGGACGCAGAGCTCAGACCTGGAACTTTAATCTCTTCATCATGCTAAATGAGGAAGTTCTGAGGTAGAAGCCCTTCTGGGCCAGTTCACCCTGGCCAAGAAACTGAGGCAGTGGGGATGCTCTGGGTCCCTTTAGTACCAAGTTGTCAACTTACTCCCAGTTCCTTGACTTCCATCAAGGCTGATGTCTATTATCTCCTCTATATAGTTCCAAGATGAAAAATTATTTCCATTTCTTTATGTTTCCTGTGTTTGTGTCTCAAGAGAAATGCTGAGAGTTTAACTAATGGTCTCTCTCTCTCTCTCTCTCTCTCTCTCTCTCTCTCTCTCTCTCTCTCTCTTCTCTCTCTCTGTGTGTGTGTGTGTCTTTGTGTCTCTGTGTCTTTGTCTCTCTGTGTCTCTGTCTCTTGTCTCTGTCTCTGTCACACACACACACACACACACACACACACACACACACACACACACACACACACACACACACACCCTCTCTCTGATGGTTAGAATAGAGCCCTGGGAATGGAGGCCCACAAATGTTAGGTGGTAACTGAAGGCGATAGACTAAGCAGAGTAGCCTGGATGGAATCCCATCTAGGGCTAGCAGGATGATAGACTTTGACCTCCAAGCTCTCCTGCTTTCTGCAGATAGCAAGACCACAGAGTATCAATGCAGAGGATCCCTGAGTCAAGGGCCATCTGGGTGTGCATGGATGCTAGGGCCTGAGAAGCCACTAAAATTGAATCTCAAGCTTGATTTGTGGAGGCAAAAGTGCATTTTGTAAAAAAAGAAGTACTGTTACTGGATATTTAAAGGACTCAGCGGCCAGTTTTTGGAATGCTCAAGAAAGATTGGATTCATCGAGTCTTACAAACGAGGAAACTGAGAGTTGTGGCTGCGCCATTTCTGTGGCTGTGATTAAATGCCCTGAACAAAAGGAACACAGGAGAGGAAGTTGGGTTTATAGTTGGAGGTTACAGTCCATCATTGGCTAGTCTCATTAACACCCACAGTCAAGAAAGAAAGAAATGCATCTTGATGCTTGG